ACTGGAAATCAATAGTAGAAAGAACAAGAACATAAAGGCAAACATATGGAGACTGAACCCTATCCTACTTAAATAAGAGGGGGTAATAAATCAAATAAGGGATGAAATTAAGAGATCCCTTGAAAGAAATGAGAAGGATAACACAACATACCAAAACCTTTAGGACATAGAAAAAGCAGTTATCAGAGGGAAATTTATAGCAACTTATATGCACATGAAATATAAAAAGGAGATATCCAAGAGCAACAAGTTAATACAACAACACCTTCAACAACTAGAAGAAGAGGCAACAATGCATATCCTCTAACAGAAGAAGACAAATCACAAAAATTAGAGCAGACATAAATGAACTAGGAAACAGACAAATAGTGGGAAAAAATCAACAAGGCAAGAAGTTGGTTCTTTGAAAGGATTAACAAAATTGACAAACTACTGGCAAATTTAACAAAGGAAAAGAATGAGAAGATGCATTTAGCGATTAAAAAGGTGAATAATAACACATAACTATGAAAGACTGTACTCTTTCATTGTTTTATAACTGTTAGTTTGATAACCCAGAAGAAATGGAGATATAACTAAATATACACCATTTTCCCAAATTGATGCAGATGGATGTAGATATCAACAGTCTCACAACAAAAGAAGAAATAGCGATCATCAAGAAATTCCCATCCAAGAAATCTCTCAATCAAGAAAGCCTAGGTGGCTTCAGAGTATATTTCTAAAAAGTATTCGGTGAAGAATTGTCAACAAAAAATCTAGCTGATAGAATCCAGTAATATATCCACACAAAAACATCACTATGATCAAGTGAGATTCATGCAAAGGATGCAAGGATGGTTCACTATTCAAAGAACAATTAATATAATCCATCACATAAACAAAACAAAACAAAGAGTAAAAGCCATATAATCAAATAAATTTAGAAAAGGTATTTAATAATATCCAATACCCAATTTTGAATAAAAGAACAATTAACAAAATGGGAATACAAGGGAAATTCCTCAATATAATAAAGGGCATAAGCAAAAGACAAGCACCCAAGATCTCAACATTTCCCCTGAGAACGGGAACTAGACCAGGATGGCTCCTATTCAATGCTATGCTGGAGGTCTTAGCCAGAACGTTTAGACAGCAGAAAGATATCAAGGGAATACAATTGAGCAAAGAAAGGAAACTCTTGCTTTCTACAGATAACATGATTTTATATATAAAATCAAGGTTCCACTAAAAAGATTGTTGGAAACAATTGAACAATTTTGGAAGTAGCAGCAAACAAAATGAGCAGGAATCAATTTGATTACTTTATACCAGTGAAAATAGTTCTGAAAAAGGCATCAAGAAAACAATACATTTTCAATCACCACACAAAAGATGAAATTCTTAGGGATAAACTTAACCAAAGAAACAAAAGACCTATACAAGGAATACTATGGAACACCATGACAAGAAATCTATAGCGACCTATCCCAAGGGATAAATATCCTGTGCTCATGAAGATGAAGACTTGATATTGTGAAACTGTCAGCATTACCCAAAGCAATCAATAAATGTAAGGGAATTCCCATTCAAGTCCCAACTTCCTTTAAAGAAATGGGAAAAATAATCACCAAAGCCGTATGCAAAGAGTAGAGACACAGGATAAGCAACTCAAAAAACTCAAACTCACTAACATCCAGTTGATTCTGAGACTCTAAAGAACTGACCTGCCTCTGTGGGTTTCTGAGACTGGTAAAACTCTTTACTGGAGTAGAATGCCTAGTCTTCTCTCATAGAGTGGCTGGTGGTTTTGAACTACCAACCTTGTATTTGGCATCCCAATGTATAACTATGTGTATATCATTGGTCTATGTGTCTGTCATTGCACCAGTACAAAAGTATTTGGACAACTGTGGCTGTGTAATAGGTTTTGGTGTGAGGTAGTGTGAAGTCTCCTGCTTTGTCTTTCTCTAAAGAACAATGGAACTGAATAGAAAACCTAGAAATAAATGCATCCACCGACATGCAACTGATTTTGACAAAGGACAAAAATTATTCCCTGAGAAATAGACAACTTCTTCAACAAACGATGCTGGAAAAATTGGACCGCCATCTTTAGAAGAATGAAACAGGACGCATCCCTCACCCCATACACACAAGTGAACCCAAGATGGATGAAAGACCTACATGCAAGTCTCCGAACTGTAAGTACCATCAATGAGAAAACTGAGACAAACGGAGGGGCACTTCTTTAAGGTTTACACATAATAAAGGAAGTGCACACAACAGAAGACCAAGTAGGTGATTGGGGCCTAAAAAATAAGACACATATGCATAAAAAACTGCACCAAAATAGTAAAAAGAGAGCCCACAGATTGGGGAAAAAAATTGTTTTTAACAATTACCCAACTGGCAAAGGATTATTTACTAAAATCTATAGAATTCTGCAATAAGAAAAAAACATTAAAAAGTTACCTAAATACATGAGCAGACAATTCACTAAAAATAACATTCAAATGGCTAACAAACGCATGCAAAATGCTCATGATCACCAGCCATTTCAGAGATGCAAATTAAACCAATGATGAAATATAATCTTATATTTACAACAATAACCCAAATTTTAAAAATCCTGAAAACAACAAACTGGAGAAGGTGTGAAATATATGTTGGAACTCTTGGGCTTGTAAATATGTACAATCATTGTTGAAAGCAATGTGGTGCTACCTAAAACAATTGGAAATAGAAATGTCATATGGCCCAGCAATACCTCTGCTGGTTATATATCATAATTAATTTAAGAACATTTTCTTTATTTTTGTACCCATTATTATTAGCTCTTCCCTATACCACAATCTTCCCTGCCATAACCCTAAGGAAATGTTCATTTAGTACTGTATTTATAGTACTGTATCTACCCTGGATTTCATATAGAGAAAATCATACAATACCCATTTAGTACTGTATTTATAATACTGTATCTATCCTGGATTTCATATATAGAAAATCATACAATAACCCCTCACCACCAAATAACAACATAAAACACAAAACAACTCAATCCAAAAGAAAGCAAAGGATAATAGAAACTAGAACAACTTAAAAATAAGACAAAAGAGAAAACAAATAATATGATACATTTTAACATAACTCTTGTTTTTATTATTAGTAATATGGAGTTGGTTCTGACCCATAGCGACCAATGCACAAGAGAGCAAAAACACTTCTTGTTCCTGCACCATTCCCACAATTTACATAACTATATCTGCAGTAATTCACTTTCCAAGCATTAAGTCTGAGGACAAGGCTATTCACTTCCCTAACCAGTGGTCTGAGATTGTTCCACGTGAAGCTTAATCTGAGTGGCAACTCTGAGAATGAAATTTGGACATTCATCGTCAGCCAGAGCCTTCTGCAAACCGGGTGCTCAGAATTTAAACTCTAATATAATTCCCTCTTCTGATCTTGGATGTAGGATCCAATCCTTGGATCACGTGGGCTTGTGTGCTCCTTCCATGTAGACTTAGATCACACCTCACTTAGATGGTTGTTTGTTTAAAAACAAGCCTTTCATACCCCAGACACTACTCTTTCTGACAGTCAGACACTAGCTTATCTTTACATTACCCTGTTCTATAGCATGAATATCTTTCCTAATCACTTCATGGAGGCAAGACTAATATCGTCCTAGTGTCATATAAACAGGCAGTGCCACACAAGAAGAAAAGAGATGGCTTCTGAAGATGGATGTATAGTAAGTATGTCTAAAAGCAGCAAAGGGACATCAAGCATTTCTCGTGGGCTCTAGAGAGAGAAGTCTACCAATATCCTTAATTTGGACGCCTATACTCAAGAACTGTGAGAAAATAAATTTCTGTTCTCTAGAACAGGGACAAAAAAGAAGTGCATTCTAATTTTCTCCCTTTTGAATGTGAGCTGGCCTGGTACATTGCTTGGGTTAATGACATGTTCCATAACAGAATATGTACTATTTTAGGGTTTGGGCCTTAGGGGGTTCACAAGCTTTAACTCTCTCTCAGAATCTCATCACTGCCATCAGATAAATCATACACCAACCTGCTGGGGATGCAAGCCATTTTGAGGACAACTGAATCATCCCAAATGAGACCATCCATAGCAGCCAAATACTAGTCTACTTGCCAAATAACCACAGATACATGAGCTTAGCTTGAGTCTGGCAAATCTAGCCCAGATCTACTGAGCCACTCAGCTAATGGTCTACAGACAGATTAGAAATGATAAATTGTCACTGGTTATGAATCATTAGATGACAACATAAACATGCAGCTACACATGCACAATACTTTCCTGTCTCATGGAGGAAATAACCTTTTAAAGTTTAAGTCCTTGGCCATGGTCAATAGCTAGTAAGTGGTCCTGAATTATAAGTCCAGAGTCTAAATGCTTAATTGTTGTTTTGTGAGGCTCTATGCAATAATACTGGGTCCTGTGGAGCCCAAAGAAAAATTGAAAGCCATTTGAGAGGAGAAAGCATAATCATTGTACTGAGGAGAACAGGCACAGGGGATGGGGCTTAAACACCAGCATTTCTCTGCTGATAAAATACCAAGTCTGTTATTAACTAAAATCCTAAAATAAAACATTTAAATTTTTCAAAGAAAAAAAATGCAACGCATGCAGACCTAGAGAGACAAGTCTTTGAGGTCAAGGTCATAAGCTAAGTGCTGGAAGCATTTGGCTGCATCTTATTAACACTCAATTATGACTGAATTCTGCAAGAGATCTATGTGACAGTTCCATTAATGCAAATGGCATCCCCTATTATGTCTCTTTTTGCAAATGAAAACAAAATGCAATTACATTAGTGGAATTTGCTCATTAAGCTAAACTAAAACTCACCACCAAGTATCTCATCACTTCTACTTCTGCCCCCATCACTGATCAAAGGAAACTAATGCCCAGAGTGGCGAGTGGGCATTTTACTAAATGAGCAATGTACATTTCAATAATAAAGGGTGGCAGAAGACATGAGCACTTACAGATACCGCAGGTTGGGAAGGTTCTGGAAGGCCTCAGGATCAATGTGTAGCAGGTTGTTGGCCTTTTCAATTCTACTATAAAAGAGGAAAGAACAAGTAAGTGATCTCAACAATAAGGAGTATTGTAGCATTTTCTACTTTATTCCAACGAGTACGTCAATAAAGCATCCATCTATTCATTGTTTCAACAAATGCTGAGCATGCATGTGGACACATTTTGCTGTATTAACTGTGTCAATTCAATGGCCACCCTGTCTAATTTAACTCTCATCATCCAAGTTCACCTAGAATCTATTAGATGCAAAAAAAAAAAAAAAAAAATCCCCCAGTACTAGCTGAGTCATTTCAACCTGAGCACAGAGGGGTCTTTAAGCAGCCAGGAACTCCCAGGGTTTGAGGAGGTTAAAAAAAAGGATTAGGACTAATATGGCTAAATGAACTTTTGTCTGGTCTGAAGTCAGAGACAAGGGGAAGAGAAACAATAAAAGAGGATGAAAAGCAGGTGGAAGGAAAGGAAAAAGGGTGGGAGAGGAGAAAGAGAGAGGATACAAGAAAGGGAGCAGACAGAGGATGAACAGTCAGTCCCTCTGATTTTAACCATGAAGCCCGAGCACTCCTGATTCCACTCCTGCTGTGGACTGTGGCTGCTCCCTCGCCCCTTGTGGGTAGAAGTAACTTCTGCCCCCGGCTGGCTTGTGCTGTGTCCTGATCAATATTCTGGAGGTGAGTGTGTGCACATTTGGATTCTGACAGAGCCTACCCTTTCCCAGTTTTGCTAGTTCAACGTATATTTGCAGAAATGTTCTATGTTAATTACGTCCTCTCTGTGTCATTAGCTTTTATGTTGCAGTAACCTGTGGCTCTCCAGACCCAAGTACCAGGTAATTAATCATTTCAAGCACAGTTGCTGCTCTGTGGGGATGAGAACACCTCTTTATGCATAGAGGAGATGAGGGGCAATCCAATCTCTACTTCCCACTAAACTGTATCCAGGGATGCCTATTCTACCCTGCCCAGAGGCTGGCTGCACATTGCTCTATTTCTGTGATACTCCATGTGAGTTATTAGAGCCCCATCAGGTCTTTGTTCCAGTGAGGGTAAGGATAAGTTAAGATGGAAGAGGTGAAAGGGATGGGCACGAGGACCATGGGAAGTGGGGAGGGGGGTGCTTAGTGACAAGGAGGAAGAATTAGCATGGCAGAAGAAAAGGCTAGCAGGAAGAGTGGGTAGTAGGAAAGAAAGGGATGAGGAGACTCACATTGGACAGATAGAAGGTCACTTAGGGATCCAGAGATTTACTGTCAAGTCTTTCTTCTACTGTGGATCTGGCTGGATGACCCTAGACAAGCCTCACAAGTTCTCTGTTCTTTGCATTCTTCTCATGTAAAATTAGAGCCTAGTTCAGATTGGCTTTACTCCATGTGCTCTGTGAAAATTTTGTAAAATGTTAATAAATGCTCCTTGAGTGTACACATACACGCGCGCGCACACACACACACACACACACACACACACACACACACACCTTGATTATGACATTAGGTGAGAAGCCCTATTACAATATCCTTTTAAAAAATCCAAGTTCATATTACAGGCTCTAAGAAGTTTTCCTACAGTAAAACAAACAAACAAAAAAACCCCGTACAACTTGATTTTACCAATGTCTCCAAATTTTACTTGACTGTGGAATCTTTTAACACTTGATAAACACTTAATTTCCTGAATGTCTAATGATCCAAATAACATAATTTAGAAAGTGCAGGACCAGGCAGGCTTAAAGTCTCTTCTGGCATTGATATTCTATGATTCTATAAATTAATTAAAGACTGGAATGATATAGATGTAAATCTAGTGAAATACTGTGTGAGTATTGGCATGTAATAAAAAGCAGGGCATCAACAAGAGATAGTGAATTTGGCTGAGGTATTAGAGGGAGAAAGGATTATTTATGGCATTTAACTCTATGCCAATCTATGTGCTAGATCTCATTCATTCCTCATAGTAATTCTATGAAGCACATACTTTCATCTTCCGAGTTTTACAAAGACAAAAACTACATCTAACTCCAAGTATATCATGTAGATTTTAGAACTTAATGCATAGCTTTGGCTATGAAATAATTTTGGATGAGAGGAGGGGGTAGGGGTACTTGTCTACAGTCTCAGAGTAAATTTCTTGGGCCAATTAAATGAAAAATTCTTAGAGGGAGGGAGACAGAGGGTCATCAGAGAGAAACACTTGACAGCATCTGTTTGACCAGTAGTGATGCTGTATAAGAAAGGTCTGAGTATTTGAGGACAGAGCAGGGTTGGCAATTCCCAGGAGTGCCCCAAACAGCTGTGAACAGACTCCCCGCACTTATGACTTACATTTCATGTAACTTGGGAAGGTTGGAGAACACACCAGCCTCTATCACTTCCAACACATCATTCTGAGAGATCTCTCTGCAGAGCAAAGACATTTAAATCCATATCAGTTCAATTAAGAGCACAGTGCCAAGGATTCATAAAGCATAGGGAACTGCCCTTACCCTCATAGAAATCAGCTGCGATGCTAAGAGAAAATGAATAGGTTAGACACTAAAACAAAACAGCAGGCAAATAGGTCCAAGACAACGGGTAAAAACCAAGACTTTAAGCATATCCATCCTGTAGCGAAATCCCTCTTCATCTATGAAGGTGTGAACTCTAGACTCCCAGTTATCTGTTTCCAAAGAACAATTGCGGAAGAAGTGTTGGATAACAATTTCATCTTAATGGGAGCCCCACACTCCAGAAACAATGCTGACGAAGATCTGACTCAGAAACCTCGAGGCTGGGTCCTCGCTTTCTCACATGGATGCAGCTGCTGCCAAGGCTCTATCAGTAGTTATGCCAAGTTCTGAGCTGCTCCAGGAAAGGGACTTTGACGTTTCTTGTATTCTAGCAGGTACAGCCCATTTGGCCTGTTTCCTCCAAGTAAAATTCTTTCCTTTCATTATTTATCTGTCTCCTTTAACCTAGCAAGTGGGTTTTCTGCTAACAGTTCATTGGTCACAGGTTCAATCTCTAACAAAAGATTATATAGCCACATCCTTGGTGAACGTTTTAGGACACATATTCTTATTTTGTACAACAAAATTATCCAAGTTTTTAACTTCTGTTTTTATTTTGCACTAAAGACTGAACTCACCATCATTGATTTGATTGACTCATATCAACCCCATAGGACAGAGTAGAACTGCCTCTGTGGGTTTTCCAAGACAGCCTCACCTTTCTTCCCCTGGGCAGCTGGTGGTTTCATACTGCTGACCTTGTGGTTAGCAGGGCTTCTCTCATTTTTTACAAGCTGTGATATTTCCAATAGCTTCACAAGGAAGGCAAGAGAAGAATTGGCGCATGTGGTATACAGTGCTGGTGATGAATATACACAGTACCACGGTCCGCCAGGAGTACAGAGGGATTCATGTCAGAGGAAGTAGGGCCCGAGCACTCCCTGTCTCACATGGTATCAGGAAAGACGGAAACACAAACCAAACTCCTTGCCATCTAGCCAATACTGATGCACAGTGACCCTACAGGACAGGGTGGAATGGCCCATGTGAGGTTGTGGGACTGTAACTATGTACGGGAGTCAAAAGCTCGGTCCTTGGAAAAGGACACCATGCTTGGTAAAGTAGAGGATCTGAAAAAAAAAAAAAAGGAAAAATGACATAGTTGGTGAAACCAGTATGCAAATACAAGAACAGTTGTGAGGATGGTGCAGGATGAGGCAGTATTTGCTTCTATCCTATTGGATGAGGGTTGATGAATCAGAAGTGACTCAATGGCACCTAGCCAGAGGTATTCCCCGGATAGTTGATATTGTACATCGATTGGGAGCGTCTATGAGTCATAATGCAGCATGAAGGAAGGACGTAGGGATACTTCTATCATCATCAAGGCAGATAGCAATGATAATATAGAATTTAAAATATTACTTTGTTTGCCAGAATATTGACACTGTACTGCTGAGAGCAAGATCACAAAATTCAGATAACTCAAAAAAAAAAGGCTCGGTGATATTGTTTTCAGCAAGGGATTCACACTTTTAAGTGTTTCAAGGGTAATTTTCTTCAGTAAAAAGATCTCAACATCGCTGCTCCCGGTAGTGATACTGGGCCAAGAAGTGAGGCTTCCTCCTGGTCTTGCCCGTCAAAGCTTCTGAGAATGAATAAAGTCAATGCATCATCATTAGGAGGCACATGGTGGTGTAGTGGTTATGCATTGGGCATCATCAGCAGGTTGAAACCATCAGCAATTATTTGGGTGAAAGACTGGGCTTTCTACTCCCATAAACAGTTACAGTCTAGAAAATCCACCGAGGGTCACAATGAGTCAGCATGGACTCGATGGCAGTGAGTTTGGTAGGAGTCAGCAAACACTACAACAGAGTTCAAGATATGTGTTCCACTATTTAGATGATTTTCCTCATTAGATTGTTAAAAGGATGAAATGAGATAATACATTCAAAGCAGATCATGGAGTGATTGGGATTTATTAAATGCTCTATAAATATTGATTGTTACTGTTGACAGGGATGAACCAGCACGGACACACTCATACTTTGCTAGTAGGAGGGTAAAATGTACAGCGATTTTGGAGAAGGGTAGCAGCTCCTTACAAAACTAAACGCGCTCTCCTGTCACTCACCAGGTTTGCACTTGTGTCTACTCTACTGAAATTAAACCTCCGTATTCCTAACACTCGATAACAAATGTTCACAGCAGCTTCATCTGGAAGAGCCAAAATCTTGGAACAGCCAATGGATACTCAACAGGCTACCACTCACTGATGAAATGAAAGAAACTACTCTTATAATGTGGTTGGACTATAAAAAATACCATGCTGAGTGAAAGAGGTCAGATACAAAAGAAAGTATATCCTATGATAAAATATGGGGGGGAAGACAGAAATCAGGTTAGTTGTTGCCTGGGTGCTGGGGTGGGAGTTGTTGACTAGGAACAGGAAGGGGAAAATTACTGGGGTGATGGAAATGTTCTATATCAGAATGGGGAGGTGGAAGCATGGGTGCATACATTTGCTTACCTCTTCAAACTTTAAGTGTAAAAATAGGAGCATATACTTTATTGTATATAAAAATATCTCAAAATCGATAGCACAAAGTGCATTTCAGTCAAAGGAAGGAAAGCAAGCGATATATTGTATTTGGAGAACTCTGAATTAAGAGAACTCAGGGAAGAGTTCTGGCTATCTTGCCTGGCCAGAAGTTGTTGAAGTTCTTATTCTGTTCTTTTTATTGCATGTAAGGTTCCTTCCTCTCTCTACTTGCTTTTATTTTTGTTTCTGTTTTCACCTGTAAAGTGAATAGCTGGACTAAACCAGGCCTTTTCAATCATGCAAGCACATCTGGAGGAGCTTCAAAGAATTCCAAAGCTGGGATGGAAATTAAAGATTTGGATTCATGAAGTCTGGAGTGAAGCCATGGCATTGATTCTGTTCTCCCATTAATACTCCAAGTGAAAGTGACTCACATGTGCAATCCTATTTGAGGACTACTGGGCTATTAACACCCCCTTTAGTATCTATGATTTCTGCTTTATAAAAAGTTGCTACAGGAGTCAGGGCAAAAGTTCCCTTGACAAGAGCTTGGAGTAAGGTTGTTGGAGCACAAGACACAATAAAATGAAATAGCAATAGAAACCTGGGGCTAGAATCTGAAGTCGGGGTAAAATAGAGGAGGCACTAGTAGATTTAGTTGTCTCCATGTAAGAAACTCAATCTAACAGATTGCAATATTTCAAATATTAAATGTATGGCAAAAGATATGTGGAAATATGACATAATAGCACCTTAGTTTGACTAGTGCATGAAATGTAATGGTCTTTTTCTGTTCATATGTTCCTCTATTTTCACTGCATTCAAGTGAGTTAGAATAGCCATTACTATCTCCAGGGAGTTTAATGGACATGACTTAGTGATATGAATAGGATTTTGTTCTCCCAAAATATGTGCCTGAATCTCAACTGCTATATCTATGGATTGAATTTAATTTAATATAATGTAATTATCTTTTATAATGCAATTACTATAACCCATCAATCAGTTGAAGTCATACTAGTGTTGGGTGGATCCTAAGACTATCCATTTCTGAGCTATAAAAAGAAATTAGACACAGAAGCACGCACACAAAAGGAAAGACAGATGTTATCTCACAACCAACTAAAGTAGATGAATCTACAAAACCAGGGTTTTCAAGGATTATCGTCTAAATGAAGTTGAAAAAACATCCTGAATTCAGACATTCAGTTTCCCGAAGAACTGGAAAATAAATTTCTGTTCTTTATAGCCACCTGTTTATGGTATTTGTGTTACAACATGTGTTAGACAGGGTTCTCTAGAGAAACAAAACCAGGACACTAAGGATTTTATATGTAGGTATAGATATATATAGAGATATATACAGCACAAAGGAATATAACAGCTAATTAGTCCACCCAGCTGTACAGAGAGCTCATTTCAACTCACTTCCTTGGAACAGTTAATATACTGGAAGTCTTTCAACTCACGAGGGCTGCTGGGTCCAAGTTTAAGGAAGCAGACAGCTGAGACTTCCCTAGAGCAATACAGGCAGTCCAGCCACAGGCAGAAAACAGCAGGATGGGTCACCAACAGTCAGCAGCTCAGGAGCTTAGCAAAGCAGGCCTAGATAGAATATCAAACTAAAGCGATGCAAGATGACAGGATCTGGCAGCCACAAGCTCAAACAATGTATACACCAGTAGTGTAGTGAAGCAGGTCTCGAAGGAACCTCAAGCTCTAGTGACACAATCCACGGGTTGGCTGTCCCACAGGTAGTGTAACTCACAAGTTGAGGCAGAGAACTAGCTAAAGCAGCTGCATGGTGGTCTACTCACCAGAGAGCAAGAGAGAGGGGGGCGGAGCTTGTTGTCCATTTATCTCTTTGCCCTCCAATCAAACTGTGACCTTATTAATCCCACATGTTCCTATTGGCCAGGTTGGCACAATAAACCTACCTATCACACAACAGCACTAGGCTAAAATAATACAAATATGGGACTAATGAAACTGATCTTTGAGTGCAGGGTATAGAAACTTTACATCTAGATGATTTATCAAACCATTCTTTGACTTAGAAGATTTCAGTTGGGATGAGACTTTTTTTGGAAATTGGAGCAATTCAAGGTTTGATAGTGTTTCTTTGGAATCAGCAGGTATGTCTTAGACTGGGTTCTTTAAAGGGGCAAAATTAGTGGAGCAGTATGTATATAAATATAGATATAAATGTAAAGATGAGAAGGAGGGAGATTAATTTTAAGAAAATGTCTCATGCATTTGTGGACACTGGCAAGTCTCAAGTCGGTGGGCCAGGCATTCGGTGAGAAGCTTCTCTTGACTCATGTGGTTACTGGAGCTGATAATACCCAAATTGGTAGGTCAGGACG